TCGTTTCTCTTTCTTCTCTTTTTTCTTCTCTCTTCTCTTCTCCCTTCTCTCTCTTCTCTCTCTGCTCTCTCCTCTCCTTCCTTCCCTCCTCTTCTTTCCTTTCTGACTGGGTCTCGCTATGTCACCCAGGCTGGGCTGCAAGGCGCCAGACTTATAGCGCCCACTGCAGCGCCTCCATCTCCCTGGCTTAAACGATCCTCTGCCTTAGCCTACCCCAAGGTAGTTTTAGACTATAGGGCATGCACTCACTATGACACTGAGAATGTATTTGTATTTTTATTTGTAGTAGGAGACAGGTCATTGCTATGTTTGCCCAGCTGGTCTCTGAAACTCTGAGCTCGAAGCAATGCTCCACCTCAGCTTCCCAAAAGTGTATGGGAATTATAGGAATGAAGCTACCGCTGCCTGACGAATTTTTACTTTTTAATAATATTTTTTTCTCAAATCTTTTCTCCCACAGATAATTCTTCTATTGTCTCACTTTTTTTTTTTTTTTTTTGAGAAAATCTTGCTCTGTCACCCAAGGGTCTGGAGTACAAAATTAGCTGGGTGTGGTGGCACATGCCTGTAATCCCAGCTACTCAAGAGACTGAGGCAGGAGAATCGCTTGAACCCAGGAGGCAGAGGTTGTGGTGAGCTGAGATCGCGCCATTGCACTCCAGCTTGGGCAACAAGAGGGAAAGAAAAAAAAAAAAAGAATGCGAATGAATGATGAATAATAAAGCCAACTAATATTAAAGAAGTTCCAAACTGAATTCACTGTATGAGTCTTCAATCCAATTAAACACAGAATTATGTCTAAAGAATTGTCAAAACTAGGGCTATGAGAAGAAATGTAATTGTTTTAATTCTTTAAAAAATTTATATGAATAAAATGCAAAATATTAATAATATGATAATAGACTGGATAAAAATCCAAGAGAGTACCTACAAAAGTGGGAATGAGCCAGAAGTAATATAATTGTGCTAATTAAAGAAAAAATTGTTTTTCCTTATAGGAGATTCTTTTCTTTCATTGAGAATATGAGTTTAAAGATATTAATACATATATAGAGGTATCATGAGAAGAACTCAGGTTACATATTATTTAAATTAAAAATATAAAGAGAGGGAAAAATAAATATAAAAATAAATATGCAATTTTATAGAAAAAGAAGACAATGAAAATATGACAAAATGTTTTTCAAAACCAGCAGAAAAGATGGAAGAAACAAGATCAAACATATATATGATAGCAGTAAATGTAATTGGGATAAATTCACTTATTGAAAGGCAGTACTCTTACTGAGTTAAAAACTAAAGCCACCTATACATTGTTTAAAAGAGACATATCTAGGCTGGGTACAATGGCTCACGTTTGTAATCCCAGCACTTTAGGAGGCCGAGGCAGGTGGATCACTTGAGGTCAGGAGTTCAAGACCAGCCTGGCCAACATGGCAAAACCCCATCTCTACTAAAAATTTAAAAAAAAAAAAATTAGCCAGGCATGGTGGCACACACCTGTAATCCCACCTATGCGGGAGGCTGAGACAGGAGAATCACTTGAACCTGGGAGGCAGAGGTTGCAGTGAGCAGAGATCATACCATTGCACTCCAGCCTGGGCGACAGAGTGAGACTGTGTCTCAATAAATAAATAAATAAATAAATAAGACATATCTAATGCAAAGCACCTTTAAAATTTAAAGTGAAATAGTAAACATAGAACAGATATTTGTACAGGCGCGCACACACACACACACATATATATAGCAACATTGTTTAGAATAGCCAAAAGCTGGAAACAACCCAAATGTCCTTTGACAGATTCATGGATAAACAAAATGTGGTAATATACATACAGTGGGCTATTTTTCACCCTTAAAAAGGAATGAAATAGGCCAGGCACAGTGGCTTATGCTTGTAAACCCAGCATTGTGGGAGGCCCAGGCAGATAGATCACTTGAGCCTGGGAGTTCGAGGCCAGCCTGAGCAACATGGCAAAACCCCATCTCTACAGAAAATACAAAAATTAGTCGGATGTGGTGGCACACACTTACAGTCCCAGCTATTCAGGAGGCTGAGGCAAGTGGATTGTTTGAACTCAGGAAGGGAAGGTTGCAGTAAACTGAGACCAGGTCACTGCACTCCAGCCTGGGTGACAGAGCAAGACCCTGTCTCAAAAAAAAAGGAATGAATTTCTGATACATGTTACAACATGGCTGAACCCTGAAAACATTATGCTAAGTAAGAGCCAGACACAAAAGGACAAATATGGTATGATTCCACTTATATGAGGTGCCTAGAATAGTCAAGTCCATAGAGACAGAAGTAGAATAATTGCGGGTGCCAGCAGCTGCGGGGAGAGGAAAATGGACAGTAATTGTTTAAAGGTTGTAGAGTTTCAGTTTAGGATGATGGAAAAGTTCTAGAGATGATAGTGGTGATGGTTATACAACAACGAATGTACTTGTTGCCACTGAGTTGTACATTTAAAAATGGTTAAAATTGTAAGTTTTATGTATATTTACCACAGTTACAAAAAAAAAAAAAAAAACCACACAAAAAAGAACACAATGGAAGAGATCAGAACAGGAAGAACAGGTCGGCAAAGATATATCAGGCAAATGTGAACAAACAGAGCAGGAGTTGGGATGATGATATCAAGCAAAGTTGTATTCAAGGTAAAAAGCATAAAATGGAACAGAGATTTACTTCAAATTCATCATAAGTACAACAGAATCACCTGTCATAACAGTACAGTATCCATTTTTGGGGTGCAGTGATGATCAGGTGTAAAAGGAATCCCACAGGAGGAAGTTCTATAGGAAGCCCAAGAAGGGAAACATCCTCACCAAGGTAACGTGATCTGAGGAGGTGAGATTTTTAACCTTACCCTGAAGGACAGGAGGAAATCTGCTACATAAAGGAAAAGGTAGCACAACATTGAAAAAGGTGGAAATTCAGACTGGCCCATGCTTTGCATTCATAGATTTCAAGCTTAGGTATTACTCTTGAGAAGTGTGGGGGGGGGCCAGGCGTGGTGGCTCACGCCTGTAATCCCGGCACTTTGGGAGGCCGAGGTGGGCGGTTCACCTGAGATCAGGAATTGGAGACCAGCCTGGCCAACGTGGTGAAACCCTGTCTCTACTAAAAATATTAAAATTAGCTGGGTGTGGTGGCTGTCGCCTGTAATCCCAGCCACCCAGGAGGCTGAGGCAGGAGAATCACTTGAACCCGGGAGGTGGAGGCTTCAGTGAGCCAAGATTGCGCCACTGCACTCCAACCTGGGTGACAGTGAGACTCCATCTCAAAAAAAAAAAAAAAAAAAAGAAGTGTGTGGGGAGGGAGTTATACAGACTCATCTTTTTCTCCCAATTTAAAGTCCAGTCCAACTAGCACACCAGAGTTATTTCAGTGTTACTGTTTTTTCCCTGAGCAGGTAACCTGTATTCCCAATTCCAACCAGTTCTTCAGTGCCTCTCGTGACAGGATGGTCATGATGTGGGACTTGCACGGTTCCTCACAACCAAGGCAGCAATTGTGTGGCCATGCCATGGTGGTCACCGGATTGGCTGTGAGTCCAGGTAAAACAAAGTGAACCTCTTCCCAACACCTTGATACTTTCTGAAAAACCCTGTTCAGGTCCCCTCTCACAGGCTGTCTTCTCACCATTGTTTCCAAAGACTCATCACAGCTGTGCACTGGCTCTCGGGACAACACCCTGCTTCTGTGGGATGTGGTGACAGGACAGAGTGTGGAAAGAGCATCTGTCTCCAGAAACGTGGTATGAACTCGAACTTGGTACAGAACAGGGCAGCAGAAAGGAGCATGGGGTGAAGGAAAGGCTCAGGAGAGAAATCAGGAGGCCCATGAGCAGAAATTAGAGCCTGGGTCCCAATTGCTGTCCCCTAACCTGCTGTGAGACCCTGGCCTCTCGGGGTTATTAGATTAGATGGTCCCTTGAGTCTTCTGCTCCAGACAATGATTTTACTCACTCATATGGGAATTAAAAATGGTCTTCATTATTTATTTCACTATTACTTTTCTTCTGTGGGCCAGACACTGTGCTAGGAACAGGGTTAGTGACCAAGGACAGAGTTCCTGTCCTCCAGGAGCTCACAGCTTATGCTTATTGTATGTTCATACATGTAACATCATGTGGAGAAATAAACATTACCTTTTGCTTTATGTAGAATTTGCATTGCTTTTGAAGGACCAGTTGTTTTCTAGTAGCAGACTGGTATAAACTGCAGAGCCTTTGGAGTCAGTCATATCCAGGTTCAAATCATGGATCTATTACTTACCAGCTATGTTATCTCAAGGAAGTTACTTAAGCTCTTAGAGTGTCTATGTCTTCATTTATAAAACGGGGAGAATTCTATCACCTGCTAAGGTTCTTCAGAGGGTGAATTGAAATACTAGATGTGAAATACCTGTCGTTGTACCTGACCTATAGTAGATATTCTTTTAGTGGTCGTCAAATTTCAGTCCCAGTCATCTTTTCTAATTTTGAAGATGACTGCCAATGGTCAGATGTGCTTGCCCCATGCCCTCTATATTGGTGGAGTTTACTGGAAGAAAAGAAAATCCTGTTATTTTGGGTTATTTTGGAAACTGTTTTATGCCTGTCCAAGCAGGAGACTGCAGGGATAAAGAGAAACATGAATGCTCTTCCTGATCCCCATGAGGTGTTGGGCTAGAGTTTCAGTGAACCCGCCTTACAACAGGGGCTGTTCTATCTGCCACACAGCTGGGGTTTCAGGTACTCTAAGGGTGCCTGCATGTATTTTGGTGCTCACAACTGGCCCAGCTGTTCCCTTGCTGCTGATAACCTGGGAGATACAGGTAGAGCATGACTGATAGGTATCTGCAAAATGTAAGATGCCTGTAAATGAATTTGCTAGTTCAGAGTCCTTGAGAAGAGGCACAGTGATGCTAGTTAGCACATTTGACAGGAATTACAGCAGAGGAATGACTTGGTGTGAGAAGTTCTGAACATTTTGCTTTTTCTAGGTCACTCACCTGTGCTGGGTCCCCAGAGAACCATACATACTACAGACCTCTGAAGATAAAACCCTCAGGTGGGCTTACTGAGCAGCAGTGAAAGTGTTTCTTGTGAGGTTTGTGGCTCCCATGTGTACATGGCTCCATTCCCACTCTGCTTCTCCACATTGCTCTGCCCTTCCCAGAGCCTTCTGTTCCTCTGCCCTTCACTGGTGGTGGGGCCTCTCTGCTCTGGCCCCATGGATCATTAAGGTAGGGACTGTATACCATGAGAAAGGCCTGGTAAAAGCCCCTGTTCTAGATGGTTTCAAAGCATCTGATTCAGCCAGCTCCTGCTATGTGAATGTGTTCAGATTAACCCCAGAATCAGTCATTTGCTTGTCCCACCCTGTCGGGCTGCCTGGCTCTCCTTGCTACTCCTGCATGGCTCCTGGTGTTCTCAGTCACCCAGCCTTCAGCTGAAGCCCTCCCTGGGGAAGCAGGGTCGAAATCAGCATCAGGGGAGTCAGTAAAGTCAATAGTTCTTAGACCGGAGAGCATAACTAGAAACTTTGGATCTCAGAAGAGATTCTCCTTAGAAAATGATAGGAATGGGGTAAAGAGGTAAAAATAAAATAAGGAGCAAAACAAAATACTCCCCAGTGGACCCCATAGCCAAGGTTGGCCATGGCCTGTATGTAAATCTTCTGTAACTGATTCTGAATGATGACTGATCTTCCGTATCATAATAAGTATCTTTTTAAAAATTTAAGTCACAGGCACAGAAATATCCTTTTGTCCATGGAAAGCAGTGCCTCAAAGGACCAAATTAACAAATTAACTTGTACAATTAAGATGCTTGGTCTCAATTTCTATTAACTGATCTCAAAATAGAAAGAACTCAGATGTCATTCAATTTGGTTACTTCCTGCCAGCTTTAGAGTCTCAGAGATTGATCTGGTTCATGCTGCTGTTTTTAGGTAAATCATGCCATTCCAATCTGGCTGGCCTACACAGCAAAGAGCCAAGATTTTTATGGTAGTGGGACAATACAGGTATATTTCAGCCACATTTACTACAAGCTAATTTCCTGCCCTAATCTCTTTCAGATTATGGGACAGTCGGGGGCTGCAGGTAGCTCATATGTTTCCTGCAAAGCAGTACATTCAGACCTACTGTGAAGTCAGTGTGGATGGACACAAGTGTGTCTCCTGCAGCAATGGCTTTGGAGGAGAAGGCTGTGAGGCCACGGTAGGAGACTGTGTGAGGTCCAGGTATCTGGTTGCTGATGAACAGATCACTTACTCTGGCCTCATGCCTGTAGCTGTTCTACACAGGCGAGCTCTGCTAATTGCTCAGGCCTCTTTCAAAATCATACTGTGAGTGATTCTTTGCATTCCAGTTGCTTCATTTAAGAAACATTCATAGGGGAGGCCGAGGCAGGAGGATTACTTGAGCCCAGGAGTTTGAGACTAGCTTGGGCAACAGAGCAAGACCCTGTCTCTATATAAAAATAAAAAGTTAGCTGGGCATGGTGGCGTGTGCCTGTAGTCCAAGCTATTCAGAGGCTGAGGTGGGAGGATCAACTGAGCCCAGGAGTTTGAAGCCAGCCTGGGCAACAAGGGAGACCCCATCTCAAAAAAATAAAGAAAGAAAAGAAAAGAAACATTCATCAACTTAGGGCTCTCTGAATTGGTAGTAGGAAAGAGGAATGGGATGAGAGTCAAGATGGGGAAGAGCTAAACACAGAACTAGTCTGCTGATGTCTCTACTCGCAGCAGAGCTTGGAGAGGGGAGGGACTGTTTGAAGAACGAGATTTATTCCCATTATAGGCATGGCCACAGTAAAAGAAGCTCAAGCTTTTTAGGAAATTTGGAGCTCTAGTGTTGGTCCAGGGCCTACTCCATCCCTTACTCATATACCTTCCTTGCAGTTAATTTTGGAATAGATTGCCTAGGCTCCTCCAAAGCACCTTAGATTCATAATTGTAGAATATCAATTAAAAGGGTTATCTAGTATTCGAATAGAACAATTATGCCTCCTATTTTATCGAACATTTCTTGTGTGCTGGGCACTGGGCTGAGCACATTACATGTAATATCTCATTTAATCCTTAAAAACAACCCCATGAGTTAGGTACTATTATAATTCCCATTTCACAGACAAGGAAATAGAGGCATGGCAAGTTGACATTTCTTGCACAAGACCATATCCCTAGTAAATGGTAGATTGGGGTGTTGCAGCCTTTGAATGTAGCATCTCTTTTCTAAGTGAAACATTTCCAGCTTCTACAGCTATTCCCTGGATAACATGCTGTCCAATAACTTCATTATCTTTTTGGACATAATTCAATTTGCTGTCCTCTCTGAACATTATTCTCCAGCTGTGATCTGATCTGTATCTATGAGAGTGGGACTGGCAGCACTGACTGGCACTTCCCTCTTGTAGACACTAGTCTTCACACATCAAGGTTCAGCATCTAGGCATTAAATCAGAATGTCTACACCTATATGTACTTAAACCTATGAGGTACTTCTAACCATGGGGTCCCCATAGGACCCACAGATGCCAAGAGGTTGAAATAAGGCAGCTCTTGAGTTGCCATGAACGCAAACAACCCCATACTGTTGTTTCGGGTTCCCCATGATGGAACACCATCATGCTGTAGGACTAGGAGCTTTTACTTCCCTAACCATTAAAAAGGCAAAAACTTATGACACATTCTTAACCAGGGTTGTTTGAGACATAGTTGAGGCTTAAAATAATCACTAGATGGGGGTTGTTGGGTCTGTGGATAGATGAAGATACGTGAGCAGGTAAGTGGAGGGAATAGGTACATCATGGGAGCGGGGGTGATGGATATTCGTGGACGAAGCTAGACGAGTAAGTATGAGCTGGTCCATGTCATTACTTTGCAGTTGTGGGACCTAAGACAGACTCGAAACAGAATATGTGAGTATAAGGGGCATTTCCAGACTGTTGCATCCTGCGTCTTTCTACCAAGAGCATTGGCCTTGATGCCTTTAATTGCTACCTCATCACATGATTGCAAGGTGAAGATTTGGAACCAAGATACTGGAGGTAAGGAGCCTGCTGTCAGTTCTCCTCGAAAGACACATGAAGTCCTAAAACCTTCTTTAAAACTCCCTCTTCCCATTGCTCAGCATTACAAAGCCACCCATCTTCTGCCACTGTCTAGTCCTGTGGTTAAGAGGTGATGTCAAGATGCTATCCCCATGTATCCCCTGGTACCATGTTGCATAGACTCATTCCTGAGAACTCACATAGATTTGGCTCTTACATTCTTTCTACCTGAAGTTCTTCATCAGATTCTAATTTGTGACACTTAAAATACCTGGAAAAGAGAACAAGAATTGCCACTTTTGAATTCTTCTTTCGAGGACTAAAATGAAACCCTCAGCTTTTGGTGAGGTTAAGGGGGAGTCAGGATAGTTTCAGAAAGTCTCTGCCCTGTTTTGATTCTGTAGCTGAAGTTTAAGAACACGGTAAGCTCATAACATTTCAAAGCATCAGAGAAAAAGGATGTCTTATGCAACCCAGGTCCCCAGATTCCTGGATCTGCTGGAGCCAGCCCCTGCTGGCCGATTGTTAAATATTCAGGATTTTTGTGAACTGGTTTTTAAACCTTTGGTGGCCTGAAATCTGATCATGGTGGAGGTATTTACACCATGAAAATTGACAAGTGCTATGAATCGGTGGTGGTAGTGTTTTTTCCTCCAGAAAGCTGGTTTACCAGCACGCCACTGCCTCCATCTGTTCTGTCCTGGACACAGGGTTCTGCCACAGACAGAAATAGCATTGACTTAAAGAACTTTAAACCAAATCTCTCCTACAGCAGTCTTCTAGAACTCAGCTCCTCTCAGGGGAGACAGGGTAGTTCCCTCAGAGAATAGAGGCAGGACCGTGTCTTGTGGGCACTCTGCAAATAGCTGTGGCCACAAGCCAAACTTCCATAGTAAGGACAGCCTGCTGTACCGTCACCTGGAGTGGCTTCTCCGGCCACCCAGGTGTAACAGTTGCTTGAGGAAAAAGAGCAGATGTTTTAGACTTAATGATCATAAACCTTACCAGGGAGAACGAGGTCTGAAAGTGTTGACCTGACCAAGTGGCACAGATTCCCTGCCCACCAGGTATGAGCCTGTAGATTTCAGAAGAGTGGCCTCTAAGATGCAGATGGAGGGAGATGGGTCAGCTGAAACCCCTAAAGAATGCTTTTCAGGCTCCCCCATTATCCTTCATCTCCAAGGCATCAAGACCCCAGGAAGCCAGCAGCTAAAGATCAGTATCCTTGTATGTTTTTCCCTGCCTGGGCCCTGCTTTATTCTCTGGACAGGTGACTGAGGGCACCTTTGTAACATGTCTTTAGCCGGTGAGACCCTGATACTTCTGGTGATGGTATGCATCCTGTTTGGCCCATGTGCCATTCTCTACCATTGATGTCGTGGGGTTGGCCCAATTTCTGACCTCCCTGATATGCTTTCCTCTGAAGAACTGGGGCCTCTCTCGTACTGGTTAGATATGTACAGCAAATGCTTTATTTCCTTGCATTTCTCATGAAGACATCACGTTTCATGATGCTACACTCTTGGCCTAATCTGCTGGTTCCCCTTTTCCCCCTAGCCTGCCTTTTCACCTTGTCTCTGGATGGATCAGGACCCTTGACTTCTCTGGCTGTTGGTGACGCCATCTCCTTATTGTGTGCAAGTTTTAACAGAGGAATTCACTTACTCAGAATGGACCACAGCCGAGGGCTGGAACTGCAGGAAGTGGCAGTATTCTGAGGCCAAGAGACACTCACTGGACAATATCAAACCATGGCCCTTTCTCAGCGTGGCTTTGTGTCTTTCCCAGTTATCTTGTGGGGAGTGGGATGTAGGGCTGGTATTCTTTGTTTAGGTTCACTTAGAAGAGGTATCAGTGTTGTAAGTCAAATAATTTAAGTCCAGTGATTCAAAGTCAGGCATAGAGTCCAGAAACATGGACTACACATAAGGTTCTCTATTTAAGTTAAATACAAATGCAACTTTTTAGTGAGCTTGTAGGATTACTCTTCAAAAAAAGTTTATTGCTCAGAATGATGACCTGTAAATGTAAGAGTGGCAGGCCTCTGTCTGTGAAAGTCAGAACACAGGGCTCAAGCCTCTGAAACTGACCCTTTCCAAGTCTTCACAAAAGAAAAAAGGCAATGGGGAGAGAGAGTGTTTTGGTTACATCAAAAATAATTGAGATGGGAAAGAATAGTGCAGCTCCATAGAGGAGACAGACTGTAGACAATGAGATTATGCTTCAGTCACTGCTCCTCAGCAATGTGAAGAATCAAAGTCAGGGCAAGCAAGCAAAAGCTTGGACTTCTATTCAAAGTGGCAGCAGAGTGGGAGGGCGGTGCCCTTCTAGCCCAATGCTGCTGAACTTGTGTGAAAATCAGACCTGAGATGGCTTGAAGCGGCCAAGAATCACATGGGCATTGCCCAGAATTATAGGAGTTAGCACATCTGCTCTACAGATAAGAAAACATTGAAATTCAAAGATTAAGGCCAAAAATATCTCACATGCAATTTTAATATTTTTATTTGGATTTATATAAATGACATATATATATATATATATGTTTTGGAATGGCCAGAGTGAGGCAAAGGGGATCCCTGAAATAACATTAGAACATACAGGAAAAACGAGGCAGGCGGATCACTTGAGGTCAGGAGTTGGAGACAAGCCTGTATGCGTGTGCCTGTAGTCCCAGCTACACAGGAGGGTGAGGTGGGAGAATCACTTGAAGCTGGCAGGCAGAGTTTGCAGTGAGCTGAGATTGTGCCACTGCACTTCAGCCTGTGTGACAGAGTGAGAGACCTTGTCTTGAAAAAAAAAAAACATACAGGAAAAAGAGGGATGGAGTCAACTGTGCCCCAGACATTAAGCCCCCTTCAATGAGGAGGGGCAAGGTGCTCAGGCCTGCCTGTGTGGCCCCCAGGAGTCAGACCTCAGCCTCGTGCTCACAGGCCCATTTTCATCCAGGGAAAATGGAGTCCTTTCTGCCTTCAGAGATGCCCACACATAAGGCACATGAGGCCTGGAGATTCCCTTTCTGACAAGTCCCAGCCAAAGAAAGATTTTGCTTTTGTCTTCTCTGGCCTCTGCTTGTCTCTGATACCAGTGGCTGACAGCCACCTTCCTTGTTCCCTCTCTTGGTGTGATCATGGCTAACTGCAGCCTCAATCACCAGGGCTCAATCAATCCTCCCTCCTTAGCCTACTGAGTAGCTGGACTGCAGGCATGCACCACCACACCTGGCTAATTTTTTGTGTGTTTGTGTAGTCTCCTGGGCTCAAGTGATCCATCTGCCTCAGCCTCCTCAAGTGTTGAGATTACAGGTATGAGCCACTGCATCCAGCTGAGAGTCTGTTCTTAAGCTAGTACAAACAGTCAGACCAGACTTTGAATCTCCACTTCTCCATTTAGCTGGATGATCTTGGGCAAGTTATAAAATCTGTTTCCTCTTCACTTTATAACATGGGGCTCATGATCATACCTCACCAGAGGGCTGTTCTGAAGACTGGACATAGCTATTTTAAATGCTAGGAAAGGCCAGGTGCTGTGGCTCCTAGCACTTTGGGAGGCCGAGGTGGGCGAATTACCTGAGGTCAGGAGTTTGAGACCAGCCTGACCAACATGGAAAAACCCCGTCTCTACTAAAAATACAAAAATTAGCCGGGCCTGGTGGTGCCCGCCTGTAATCCCAGCTACCCGGAAGCCTGAGGCGGGAGAATCGCTTGAACCCAGGAGGCGGAGGTTGCGGTGAGCCGAGATTGCACCATTGCACTCCAGCCTGGGCAACAAGAGTGAAACTCCGTCTAAATAAATAAATGCCAGGAAAGGTGCTGACAAATGGTAACCATAATTATTTATTGTCCTCTCTGTCCAGACTAAATATTCCCTTTCCATATTAAACATTTACCGTTCTGCCAGATGAGTTGGCTCATGCCTGTAATTCCAGCACCTTGGGAGGCTGAGGCAGGCAGATCACAAGGTCAGGAGTTCGAGACCATCCTGGCCAACATGGTGAAACCCCGTCTCTACTAAAAATACAAAAATTAGCTGGGTGTGGTGGCGGGCACCTGTAGTCCCAGTTACTCAGGAGGCTGCGGCAGGAGAATCGCGTGAACCTGGGAGGCGGAGGTTGCAGTGAGCTGAGACTGCACCATTGCACTCCAGCCTGGGCGACAGAGAGAGACTCCGTCTCAAAATAAAATAAATAAATAAACGTTTACCATCCCTTCATCCATTCTTAGATCTTATGCTCTAACCCTTTGGTCTTGTTTTCCTCTCCTTTGATTCCTTGGTAAGGATCTTTAAACTCTGGAAAGACAAAGAGGTAGTGGGAGAGGAAGCTAGAGGGCTGAATACATTTATTCTCATTTGTTATTCCCAGTATTCCCTGTATTGTTATTTCCGTTTCACAGATGAGGAAGCTGAGGGCTAGAGACATGCAGTACTTTGTCCAAAGTTACATACATATTAAGAAGAGCTGAGATATGAATCTGGGTCTGCCTGACTCAAAGCACTTTCCTTTGTATCATGTCACAAAGTCATAGACCATGACATTGTTTGTATCTTAAAGACCAGTTATTAACTTTCTGGCTCCAAGGAGATCCCCTGCCCAAGGGCCTAGGGGTAGTAGACAGCTGTCTCAGGGACAGTCTTAGCATGTGCTGGATTATTAGTGCATCAGCTGACACGTTTTCCCAGAAGGGAGAGAGGCAGCAAGTCAGAAAGTCCACGGGAATGAGTTGGGAGGGGGTTCCAGGGAAGGGGGACAGGCTGCCAGGAGAAGGAAAGTACACATGAGAAAATAGTAGGGCTCTGATGAGTTAGTAGGGTTCTGTTACCAATAAAATTGTTTCCATAAACTGTATGTGTGCTTGATGTCAAATTACACATTTTAAGTAGAAAATAGATTAGTAAATGCTAGTGTTTGTAGAGGACTTTTTTCAGTCCGATACGCCCTAATCAGATACTCTCAGCACCTAAGATACAGGCTGCTAAAATTCATTCATTCCTCGAACATTCATTGAACACTTCATTCTAGAGGCTGCCCCTCTAAAATCATGTCAAGGAATTTTCCAAAGACAGTTGACTTTTTTTCCCGGAAGGTGGATAAGCCCTTGGAACCTGGCCAATTGCGTATTTAAAATTTAAATAAATGTATACATTTACTTACATATTTATGATTTAAATATATATACTTAAGAGCAAATGGATGCTTATTATTAATGTTCTTCATTTTGGCACAAAAAAGTGTAGAACTCGGGTCACTTGGTGTTTTTATAATCCAACAGTGAGAAAAAAACTATTTCCAAATGGCCTTCTGAAAACATAATTATTAAAGAGCAGCTTTATCATTAGAAATGTAGACTGTGGCTGGTGCGATGACCCACACCTGGAATTCCAGTGCTTTGGGAGGCCGAAGCAGGCGGATCACTTGAGGTCAGGAGTTTGAGACCAGCCAGACCAACATGGTGAAACCCCATCTCTGCTAAAAATACAAAAATTAGCCTGGTGTGGTGGTGCACACCTGTAATCCCAGCTACTCAGGAGGCTGAGGCAGGAGAATTGCTTGAACCTGGGAAGCAGAGGTTGCAGTGAGCTGAGATCGCACCACTGCACTCCAGCTTGGGCAACAAAACGAGACCTTGTCTCAAAAAAAAAAAAAAGAGAAAAAGAAAAGAAAAGAAAATCCCAGCTTTGGATCAGGGGGTTGTTGTTACCTGGCACTGCGTGTTCAGATGCTGGACTCAGTTCCCCTGGATTAATTTTTTGGTAACTGGCTAATTTCATGCAATAACAATGCAGATGTTTAAAATGAGGCTGCATGGAAGCTGTCTGTGATTCACCCTACATGAAAAACACAGGAAACAAAAACCATCGTACAGCATCATCCTGTTTTGGTAAGAATACCTCCATACACATGTCTGTACATTCATAGATAAAGGCTTGGAAGAAATATGGCAAAAATATTAACAGTGTTGTACCTGGGTATTGAGTTTAAAAATGAATTTATTTTCTTCTTTGTTCCTTTCTATATTTCTTGATTTCTTTTGCAGTGAAGATGTATCAATTTTTTCAAATTTTAGTTTTGAAATAGAGAATACATTCACAAAGTAATAATCAAGAGTCCAAAAGATTATACAATAAAAATTCCTTCTCTCGTCCCTGTCTGCCTTCCATCTGGCTCCCTCCAGAGGTAAACAGTGTGACCAGCAACTAGTGTATCCTGTTAGAGACTTTATGCACATATAAGCAAATATATGTTTGTTTTTTCCTATTATCACTTTTACAACCAAAATAAAACTACCTTGATTTTTGAAGAAAAGGCTGTAGAAGACTCTTTGATTATATAAAAAGATGAAAAGTGAAAAACAGAGGCTGGAAAACTACGTACAGTGTGACATTTTATATGAAATTATATAAAATAATTATATATTATTTTAAAATATATAAAATATATATTTAAAATATAAAGCGAGAGAAAAGTTATAATCCAAATGTGTGGGCAATTATCTCTGTGTCTAAAGTTTTAGGTGCGTTTATTTGTTTATTTGCTTTTTTTTTTTTTTTTTTTTGCAAACAGCAGCCTCACCCTGTTTGCCAGGCTGGAGTGCAGTAGCATGATCTCGGCTCACTACAACCTCCACCTCCCAGATTCAAGCAATCTCCTGCCTCAGCCCCCGCAGTAGCTGGGATTACAGGCATGTGCCACCACACCTGGCTAATTTTTTGTATTTTTAGTAGAGGCAGGTTTCACCATGTTAGCCAGGCTGGTCTCGCACTCCCGACCCTGTTATCACACCGCGCCTCAGCCTCCCAAAGTTTCTGGGATTTACAGTGTTGAGGCCTACCACGCCCAGGCCTGAAAACCAAGATTTTTATTAAATTTGGTGCCAAAATTACCTGATCTTGTGAAGTTTATTCTTTTTGGTGTCAATATTCATTAATAAACTGGAGGATATTAATGTTTGAATATAGGGTACTGCCCCAGATCCACTGGGAGGGAACTGGGAGAGTTGGCAAATGCATCATCTTCCTTCCTAAAATATGAACAATTCTGAATTCTGAAATACACTTCCGACCAAAGGTTTTGAATAAGGGATTGTGACTTGGAAAGCACATTCAGATGCTGGCACACAGTAGAGGCCAGGGGTGCATCCCCAGGTTGGGATTCGCATTGCCCTGCCTAGGTTCAGGTTCTTGGGAGCCTTTATGAATCCGAAGCGCGAATATAATCAGAAGGCGTGCGAGCGTCAAGAAGTGTATGTTGGAGGTATTTCTCCTAAATCAGTTCTCTTCACTTTTAATGTCTCTCTGAATCTCCCAGGGATCTCGTAAAAATGCAAATTCTGCCTCTGTAGGTCTGGAGTGGGTCTGAGGTTTTCATTTTTTTTTTTTTTCTTTCTTTTCTTTTTTTGAGACGTCAGTCTCGGCCTGTTGCCCGAGGCTGGAGTGCAATGGTACAATTTTGGCTCACTGCAATCTCCACCTCCCAGGTTCAAGTTATTCTCCTGCCTCAGCCTCCCGAGTAGCTGGGATAACAGGCACCCGTTACCATGCCCAGCTAATTTTTGTATTACAGGCGCCTGTATACCACCCCCAGCTAATTTTTGTATTTTTAGTAGAGACGGAATTTCGCCATGTTGTCCAGGCTGGTCTCGAACTCCTGACCCCAAGGGATCCGCCTGCCTCAGTCTCCCAAAGAGCCATGATTACAGGCGTGAGCCACCAAGTCCGGCCAGATTTTGCATATCTAACAATCTCTAATTGAAGCCTATGCTGCCGGAACTGTCCTAAATGCTAGATAAACCTCAGGCAAGGCTCTGAGTGATGATGACAGGGTGGCCCCCTAGGGAGAGTTGTCCTCCGCCCTTGACTGGGACCTGCTAAACACTGACCATCCCGGATTCTAAACCTGCTGCAGTCTTCACCTTTTCTCCATCCTTCTGCCTCCTGCCACCTCTTCCTTCCCAGACAGGTTAAAACCACCCCACGCCTCTGCTCCAGACCTTGGCTGGGTTCCACCGAGTCTCATGACTGTTCACTCACTCAGGTCTAAGGTACTGCTTAGGTGAGGTGCTTTTCCGGATGGCTGACCTTGCCCCCACAAGCATGAACTTTATAAATTAGTTTTACTCTCAAGTTCCTGAGATGCCTCACTATCTCTCCCAGGTATCTCTCTGGAAAACTTTTCCAGTGTTGGAAAAGCACTCCTTAGCC